GAGAATTATTTGAGATGATACCAAGTCCAGAAGTATTTTTAAAACCCGTGAATTTTGATTATAATTGTAATTCTTAGGGGGGAAAAAAAAATACATAAAGGCAGCTTTTTATCTGTATGTAAATCTTGCCTGATACGACATTTTGGAAAAGGTGGGCTGTACTCCCTTCTCACAAAACCTGTGTTATAGATTTCAGCTGCGTGGAGATTAATCCCTCTGTGGTAATTTATCCTGGATACTTCTCCTGAGGTCTGCCTCTTCGACCTCGTGGATCTGCCTGAGGTAGGGTCATCTGTGCAGAAGCGGGGCTTTTCAGGAGAGAGGCCCTCCCCGTCTTCCTTCTGGTTTTGTAGCTTCACAGTTGCTGTGAATTTAAGGGTGCTTAAGACGTTATTGTGTGAATATTTCCTGCATTTCCATGTCTACGGTTTAGCAGCATAACTAAATTAATGTCTGATTCTAAAGCTTAGGTGTTCAGACAGGCTTCAATGTCATCAAAGTCAGTGGTGGGATGGAGAGTCATTGGTTCTCCTTTACAGGATTTAAATGGTGATTGAGACTTAAATACATTTTCCAATGAAAATGACATCTGGTGTTCTGAAAAAAACATTCATTCCATTGGCTTTGGAAGTGTTCTAGGTTGTCAGATGGTGCAAGTGTACGTTTGTGTTAGCTCGCAGTGGCGATGCTTACCAAATTTCATCATGAGGTGAAACCGCAATGACTACATTGTCAGACTGTTTTCAGCTTTTAAATATTAAAAAATCTGTTAGATAAAGGGGGAGAAAGAAGAAAAGGAAGTTAAATAAGTAAAAATGTACAAAAGAACTCAGTTGCTGTCAAAAAAATGCCTATAGCAAGAAGGGTAACAGATTTAAATCTGGTGATTTCATACATCTGGTTATGCCTGGAAACAAAAATCTGCTTGGCTTGAAGAACTGAATAAGCTAATGAACTGTATGTACTCCTTGATGCAGTGATAGAATCAGGCTGCAGTTGCTTTTATATCCCCAGGAAGAAGTATGAGACTGGCTTAAGATGTTTAAGGGGAAATGATACCCACTGAGATCTGAATCCAGCTGGTTAGAACGGTCATTGGATAAGGTGAAATGAGAAAAAGAAAAGGTGCTATGGAGAGCCCTCACCTGCTAAATTGAATTTGGCGTTGGGGCTCACAATCTCTCAGTTCTATCAGACAAGGCCAGAATTAATTCAGATTAATTGTGAGGCTTTGGCACACTGTAGAATGCATGTTTTATTCTGTCAAAGTGTGTATTGGAAGTGCCTTAAGCTAAGATAAAATACTAAGAACAGGTTTTGTTTTTCACATTCACCTTCAATAGCCTGTTTTAATCCATGGGTAGTCTTACCTGATGGGCTTTTGCCATTCAGGAAGCTTCTCTGATGGTCAAGTGAAGTGCCGGTGCAGGAGCACATGTGTTCTTGCACTGAGACTGATGGGACACTTGCAGGATTAACTGAAATATCACACAGGGGAGGATATCTGGCTCTAACTGATGTAATAAACTAGTAAGCAAAGACATTTTTTGCCTTTAAAACTCCTTCATTGAGGATTTTAAAGGAAGAGGGGTTGGCAAAAAAAGATTAAAATAACATATAGCCTACAGACTGATGTATTTCATTAGGGCAACAGAAGAGATTACTTGAAATTCTCAGGCCCTTATGGAGCAGCCAGACTCCTCTTTTCTTGCACGTTTTCTTTTGTTTTGAAGTTCAAGGTATTTCTGGTTTGGGCACGGCTCTTGCATATACGCACTTGTGCACACATGGCCCTGTGCAGGTTATGTGAGGGACTTCATTCTGACTGCCTGGATTTGCAGGCAGCGTGTTGACAGGAAATTAGTTTCTACCAGGACGTGCCTTTTGAGGACCGTTTCCATGCAGTTGTGATGATGACATCAATGTGCGGAGGTCAGGTGGCAGGGGAAAGACACCCCCTTGGCTGGAAGTTGGTTTTGGCAGTGCCTCTGTGAGACTGGAGGGTTAATCATAATTTGTTTCTCTGGCTGCCGTTTGCGTCAAAAGTCCGGGCAGCTTTAATGAACGTTGCCTGTGTTAATTTGAAACCCTTGCTGGGAAACCATGGGAAAATGGAGAAACGCATACTTGCGTGTCACCCTTCAGATTAACAGCTTGGGCAGTGCTAGAGCTCTCGGAGCGCATGGTGCAGCTCTGGTGCAGCTCCGAGCAGCTGGTAAAGAGATCTCTCACTGTAAACCTGGGCCTGCCTCTGGTTTTTATAGGGTATCCTGTTAAGCCAAAAGCTAATTTGCTGTAGACTCTGTGCTAAAAATGGTGCATCATATGACAGCTTAGTGAACTATGTAAATAAAAACCTGAAATTTGAAATTCCTGGTGTCATAGGTCCCAGGCACCTCTTCATTTGATACTATTTTTATTATTGGCATTTTTTTGCATGTGCCGTTTTAATTTTTTTTTACTTCGCTTTAAATAATAAACCCCCTAATAATGTACTGGTATTCCCCTTCATTGTTTGAGCGGCATTATGCCATCAGTGATTGCTTCACTGCAATTTTCTGATTATTTATTGCATGAAAGTCTTTGCAATGTACATTCCCTTGTAACAGTGGTGATTTTATTTAGAATAAACACTTTTTTTTTTTTTTTTCCTCAGTATGAAGCTTGTAAGAGAAGCGTTTATATTGGGGAAAGATGTAATATCCGTTCTAGCCACCTCCTTTAAAACCAATTATTTCTTCTTTGCTTCCTTGGGGGGAAAAAAAAAAATTAGCATCTCCCCCAAAGTCTTCTAGCTTCAGGTCATCTCATAATGTTAACGTTTTGGTCTCAGTCTTACAATTATTTTTCCTTTGCTTAACTTTTTCTTGTGTGGAGCCTATTGGGTATAAAGTCGAGTAAATGTGAAGCTTATGCAAGATGGGAGGCCTGAATCCCTACTGAGACTAGCTTATGTTACAAAGTTGATTTTAATTTCCTTTAAGCTCTGTCCTTCGAAAAGCATTTGCTATCCTTGTTCAACACCTGAAGTGTTTTATCATGTTCAGCCTTCTCTAAGTCAATGGGACCATGACCCATGGGTATGTTAGAAATGCTCTAATATCGTTTGGGAATTTCTAAAGCGGCTGCAGCAAACTGAAAAGCTGACAAGTAGCTAACCCAAGTCCCTTCTCTAATATTTCTTAGCAACCTAAGTATTCTGTTAGCCAACATTTATTATAGGTCCTCAAAGATATTTTCCAGACTAGCTCTGATAAGTTAACTGTTTTGCACTGGAAAATTACAGAACCGGTTGTAGAATAGGAAAGTTAGAGAATTTATTTGGAGGAGTTCTATACAGCAGCGATGGAGTCATTACTGTTGCTTTGGCTCTGGGATGTTTAGGAAGCACTTTGGTTGCAGGCGTGCTGGTGGTGGGTGGCAGTGCTCCAGCAATATACGTGCGTAATAACTATGCAACTATATGTGTGTATTTTCTATCTGTTGGAAATAATTGGAATGCTTATATTTTAAAATTGAATATTTCTTTTTGGAAACTAGTGTTTGGCAGGATAATTGTGCTGTGTTTGTGTGTATAGGTGCCTGTATGTCTGTATAGCATTTAAGAGTACTTTTGGAAGAGGACTTTCAAAAATTTTGACATTAAAAAATTATCTTAATCCTATGTAGATTTGGGGTGACAGTAGAAAAATGTACATTGCAGGAGTACTTATTTTAAATATCTGACTTCTTTTCACTTCTTAGCATGAAGTTCCCTCTGCCCCTGCTCAGCAGAGGGAACTTTGGGGATGAGCCACTGCCTGCGCTTGTCTTGGTGTCCCCCCCCCCGTGTTTATATAGAGCAGGGTGCTGCAAGGAACACATACGTCATTTGTGTAGTGTGTCTGCCAACATATGAATGTGTGCAGTTATCTGTGTATGGTCCTAGTATCTCCTAGGTCTAGTATCCTTTCAAAAATAAAAAATGATGTGGTGTGTGGTCACCTATTTTTTATAATGTTTCAGAAATAAAGCCTCTTTATGTTATAAAGAACACCACCTTTCCTGAGATGCATTATTTATCACAACGTATGTGCTTGGTCTCTTGATTTATGTGATGTCTTCCTTTATACATGTGAATATGTCCACACACTCATATATATGTATGCACACACATAGTTGTGTGTCAAAGAATTGTCTAGGAAGAAGGTGGTATGTCATTTCATTATTCTTTTTTAAAATATTAGAACCTTTAATGAAAATAATAGAGTTTATTTCTATAATGTTTTTTGTTAAATATAGTTAAGCAATTTGAGCAAATTTTCCATAAACTTCAAGGTTACTGGAGTTAATTCCAAACTAAAAAAATAAATGCCTAGAATAGTTTATGCCTTGTCTGTTTAGGTTTTTCACATATTGACAGTTTCAAAACTGGAGTTTTCTGTTTCTCAGTCTTGGTTGTGGGTTTTTTTCCCCTGGTATCTGGAAAATCACCTGAGTTAAAGGACTGACAGTGCTATTATGACGCAGTTGGTGAACACTCAATTTATTCTAATTTGATGGGGAGAACATAAAAATGTAGAGCAAGTCTGCAAAATACATAACTACCTAACTTTTTATACTGTATAGGCTGGTGTAAGCACTCATTTGGATGGTGCTAAAAATGAAAGCTTGTCTGACTGGTAAAGAAGCTGCATGAATTTAGTTATCTTCAAAATATTTATTCCAGACATCCACATTGGGTTAAATTCTTTACAGCCTATATAGCAGGGCAGTAAGTAAAAAAAATCTCGGTTGCTTTACTGAATAGGAAGAAATCTTTTGAAGGACTAGTTCTCTGATTTGCTTTTACTCGCTTCATATGACTGATACTGTTTCAGGGATTGAAGGTGAAAATAAAAATCAGAAAGAATGAAGGTAAAAAGATGGATCCCTGTAAATTGAAAAGAGCCGTATATTCTTTCCTTTCTCCAATTTTCTAGGAAGGGAAAGCTAATGCTGTGACTTTTTTTTTAAATCAGCTCTTCAGGTGCTGGAAATGTAGCAGACCGTGTCTTGGCTCAGTTGTTAACGGAAATGGATGGGATAGAACAGCTGAAGGACGTGACAATTTTGGCAGCTACAAACAGACCGGACATGATAGACAAGGTACGAAAAGATGCACTGTTGTATATACTGTCCTCTTGAGAAGACCAGATTTTGGTATAATTCCATTCTCTTTTACTCTCCAAACTATTGTCCGATCAATTTAATGATTAAGATTAGAAGTTTGTAAATGAAGACAAGGCAAAGGAAAGGATTATGTCCCTCGTTTTTTGTTTTCCCTTTACAGAATTTTTAACAGGAACAAAATGTTTTGTGATAGACCTAAGTATCTGTTTCCTAGAAGAAAATTTTGCGTAAATCAAGCTCATTGAACTTATGCAACAACATTTCTGTCAAACTGCTTCTGTGGTTTTTGCTTCTGTTGTGTTTGTTTATGCAGGAGTTTGCTGGAGTTTGATTTCATTAGTTACTTCCTTTCAAAAGATTAAATATCTCCTCGGTGCCATTAGCCTGCTGCCAGCAATACAATTTCCAACTGTAAACAGTGCAGTTTCTCCTTAGATTTTGCAGCAGCTGTGCTGAAGCGACAGGAACATTTCAAGTTTGTAAAAATGGGAGGGTTGTAACTCTTATTGCAGAAAACCTCTGAACACAAAAGCAGCCCAGCAGCCCTCTAGAAAATCCACTTTAAAACCGTCTACCACTGCTGTGTCTTCTCACAGCTAAGTGCAGTAGACAGACCAGTCTGAAGTGATTTCCTTTAAGATAGATTTTGTAGTGTTGGTAAGGTTCTTATTTCCACAACTTTTCACCTTCATGAAGTCTTGAGGAAAAAAACCTTGTATTTTGGCTCCAAAACACAGCCTCTTCCCTTTTGAACTGAAGGAAGCTACACAGCTGATGGTGTCCTGACGAAAGCTTACTTAAGGCTTACTTAGACACTATCTGTGCCTGCTGTGGCAAAGTAGAGCTAGCAAAGAATTTTCAGTAAAAGACAATAAAACTAATCAGTGAAAAATATGCTTGCGCAAAATTGAAATTTTCAAGATTCCACTTTTGTCAAATTGATTTCAGTTTTCTTTGATGGCTATTCTTCAGGGTCAGACTAAGCTGAATTTGAATTTTTATTCTGTTTGGTGAACAGAAAGGAAATTTCCTTCTGGGTCAGTTCAACATTGTGCTGTGTTATCTCCATTGCCACCTGGGAATTCAGTTCTTTCTCATTCTCCCTTTTGCTAGGTTTCTCTTGGGCCCCCAGTGAATACTGTTTTCTTATACTTTAGTTTTTATTTGAAATATTGACATACTGGGACAGTATTTATTTGAAATATTGGCAATATCAGGACAGTACTACTGTGTGTTAAGAGTGCCACCTTGCAATACCGAGAACTTTTAGATAGAACCTAAGTTACTAGATAAATGCCAACTGTGCCTGCATCACTGGTGCAAATCTAGACCTGTGATTTAAAGGGACTGGAGAATCATATTTGAGTTGGTATTGCTCTCATTATGCTTCATCCCGACCAGACAGGGCTATACCAGGCCACCAACTTCTCCTCAGTCTATGCAATATTTGCAGTGCACAAGTTACACCTTCCGCCCCGCCCCCCCTTCTGGAAGAAAGACGACTGACACCAGAAAGCATTTCTATTGTGAACTTCACTTAATGGAAAAACTTTCAGTATGAGATTTTAGTTTGTGATGGGTGATTCCTTTGAAAGGGTAACATTTTGTTAAATCAATTTAATATTTTGTATGGAAATATCAGTTCAGTTATGTATTACAATGAGTGTCCTGTTGTCATAGGTGTGTGATAACTATACAGTAATTTTTAATGCATGAACTTTATATGTGCTATAAAGGCACAAGGCAGTTTGTATTCTCTACTTCCGGGGAGTGGGACAATGTCTGGTATACTTTTTATGAGTACCTTTTAATTTTTTAAACAAAAAAATGTTTGAGGAATACATGGTTTGTAAGTTTTATATTACATGCTTATAAAATTGGTAATAATCCACTCAGCATCTTTATTTATGTGGCTGTCTCTTAACTGAAATTCTGTGATGATTAATCTTCAGCAATTTGAAAACAGTACATGGGAATATCAAATGTAAAGATATTCCCCTGAGCCTAGTGCAGACTTCATTATCCCTGCAGACACAACAGTATGTTGCTTTCAGGTAGTGAATAGATTTTGAGTCAGACTTTTTATAAAGCTATTTTCAATGGTAAACTTGTTTTGACGTGTTACAAATGTCTATTAATATGATAATTTCTCTAAGATGTCATGATAGTATTGAAATATTATTCTAACCTTGTGTCCCATGTTTGTAGCACTTAGCTACTTTGCATCCCATTCATGTGATGCTGGAAATACTTTGAGATAGTTTCTGTTTTTCGTAAGAAGACAAGAACGGCACATACTGTTTTCAGCCATGTATGATACAGAAAGTGATTTTTCTTGGAAGGGAAATATTCTAGAACAAGATGTTCTGTACATTCTTTGAAAGTGATACAGAAACCAAACACTGAGTCAATAATAGCAGTAAAATCTTCACTTTTATTCTTCATTCTATAAGGAGAATTGATGAGCAATAATTGCAAAGATGCTTTTCATTTTTGGTTACTTAACCACTCGAGTGATTTTTCATACCTAAAATATTTTGCAGTAACTTTATGGAGCTGGTTATGATTCAAAGGTTGTCTGTATTTTCCCCTGTATCGGTTGGCCTAACGAGAGATCATTCATCCTCACAAACCTCGCATAAAATATTTTGAATGCTCTGTATAATTTGATTAGCTTGAAATTAAATGTTGTATTTAGATGTATATGTGGACAAGGTTTGCTGTGTAGTCTGACGGATTTCCATGGAAGAAAACCTAGACCAACTAATTTTTTTTCTTTTTTTGTTTTTTTTTTTTTCCTTTCTCAGTGGAACCTGTTTTCCTAGCCTTTTAGTACTGGGCTTATTTCTTGGGTGAGAGGAGTGAATTGGTATCGTTACCTGCCCATGCAGTTATTCCCCCCACACCATGAAGCAATGTTTCAATCTCCATTAGCAAGGGTACAGCGAAGGAAGAGAGACTGTCAGATCCCCAGGGACCTTGGTGAATGTTTTTGCACAGGAAGCAAGATGCATGTTGCTGTGGCATCGGATAGTTTTACCTCCTGCTAGGTCAAATTTGAATGTCAAACACATTAGCTGTGATGTAAAACACGAGGCGCTGAGTGAAGTGATGGCCCTGTGGTATAGGATGACATCCTGATGCTCCTGACAGCCTCGCTTCTTCTTATCATGGGGTGCAGAAAAGATGTATCCTCAAATATGCTATTTGCATAAGAATGACAGGATGTGATAGGACAAATGAAGATTAATGAGATGCTGTGCTGTCAGTGTTGCCCATTGTCTCTGGATTGATGATGGTCTGGATTTTGTCCGTGTTCATGGGCTTCAGTGTAGCTTAAAGCAGAAACGGTCCTGGTACATTGAATGCTGAAGAGCTGAATCTTTACGAATGCTTTGTTACTGCAGGAGGGCTTGAAGCATCTTGCGTGCTGGTATAAGAACATGCATTCTGTGTATTGTGCCAGTGCAGAGGATTTTTGCTGTCTCCTTTTGCATATTTACTTTGCTTTTTAAAACCTTCCTGCTCCCTAGCCTTCTCCTCACTTTCTTCCTCTTCCACTCTCTCTTCCTTCACCTGCAAGTTTTCCTATTCCTTAGATAAGTTCTGTTGGCTTCAGTGTATTAACCACTGGGTTTGAATTCAGCTTATTCAGTTTAAGAACCACATGGATACTAGCAAGTTGTCTCTTCTGCTTACATGAACAAAATAAACTAAAACTGCAGCCTGTATTCTTCCCAGCAACTGCCAAGCAGGAGGAAAGGGAATAAAACTCCTTTCCCCCGTGGTTCATTTGGATTTGGAGGAGTCTTTTGAGTAGAAAAGTCAAACAGAGGTTCATCAAGTTGATCTGACCCTCAAAATGTTGATTACTGTGTAATTATCAGACAACCTTAATTTAAAGTGGCTTGTTTTGATGAAAATAAAAAATGCATGATAAAGCCATTTGGTTGAATGAGTGAAGAAATTATAATTTCTTGCCTGCAGCAAAAGTGAATAATCTTTCCTCTTTAAAAACATCAAAGTTCTGTCTTTCTGAAGGCTTGTGGAAGAAATTAAAATATTTAGGTTTGCAGTTTTACAAGTTAAAAAGAATAGGAAAGCGTCTTGCATGTGAATTTGTTATTGTCTGGAAATGTGTATGTGCTGTTACAAGGCAGGTGATGCTACAAGCACATTTAGCAGTCAGATGCAGTGGCACAAACTTAACTTACTACCATGTCATATATTTGCTTACTTATATATTTGCCTATTTGTGATTTCCATTTTGGTCACATATATCTTACTAAAGGTTCTTCCTGTATTACAGCTTTGATTTGGTGGGATTTCAGTTTCAAATATAGTGTAGGACTGTAGAGTTACTTGCCACGTAATCCATCAGTCATATGCTATGTTTCCCTCTGTGACACCCCTCCAACCCTCCGTTTGAGCAAAGATCGTAAAATATTCCAGGTTGGAAGGGGCCCCTGGGGTCTTCTGGTCTGGCCTGCTGCTTGAGCAGGGCCAACTTTAGTATTAGGTGAGGTTGCTCAAGGCTGGTTCTTGTTTCATCCTGAGTTTCTCCAAGGATGGAGATTTCACAGCCTCTGGGCACCTGCTGCGCAGTTTGACCACCTTCACCATGAAGATTTTTTTCCTTATATCTAGCAGTCTAGCTTGCAGTAACTTGGGCCTGCTGAGAAGTGCCTGGCTTAGTCTTCTCAACAAACCATCCCACCACTCCCTGCTGCTTTAGATGCGTGAACACAGATGGAGTTGTACATGGAATTGTGAAGGAGAACTTTGGTTTATTTATTTGGTTTTTCCTGTCCCTAATACTCAGGTGCGAAACCCCCTAATGAAGCTGTGCCTGAAAGAAGGTCCCACCTATGCTAAATTGCTTTTGGACTCTGGAGGAGGAAATGTAAATATCTAGCTTTTCATACTGGTCTGCATTGGATTTGGCTCAAGGATGAGCACTCAAGTGTCTCTTGGCC